CACACTGCCCACGGTGGCACAGGTGTACCTGTACACACGTACACAATTGCCTCTCGCTACACCAGGTGTCAATATGCACACATGCTCCTCACCTCCTTTTTTTTTTCTTGAGACACAGTCTTGCTCTGTCACCCAGGATGGAGTGCAGTGGCGTGATCTCAGCTCACTGGAACCTCCACTTCTTGGGTTCAAGAATTCTCCTGCCTCAGCCTCCTGAGTAGCTGGGATTACAGGTGTATACCACCACACACAGCTAATTTTTGTATTTTTAGTAGAGAGGGAGTTGCACAATATTGGTCAGGCTGGTCTTGAACTCCTGACCTCGTGATCCATCCGCCTCGGCCTCCCAAAGTTCTGGGATTACAAGCATGAGCCCCCGCACCTGGCCTCTCCTCTCCTCCTTTTCAAGTCCCCGTCCTAGGTTGGCCATGTCACCTACCTTAAGAGAACAGGCTGTTACAAAAGGCAAGGTCCTGAGGAGGCCAGGGGCGGCTATTGCCCTGGGATGGGGTGAGGGTGGGATGCATGGGCCTGAATGCTGCTACTATTTGCTGACAGCAAGTGGGGAGTGGTAGGTACAGCACGGAGCGGCAGGGGAGCATGTACTGAGCACTCACCATATGCAATTAAATGCTTGGCATTTTACATTCTCTATTTCTCTCCCCTGTAAGGTGGGGATTCTTGTTCTCATTTTTCTTATGAGAACAATGGAGACTTGAGAGACTAAGTGCCTTGCCCAAGGTCACACAGCTAATGTGTAGTCAGCTGAGATGGAAAGCCCAGGAAAAGAGAGCAGAGATGGGGTGAGGATTGCTTTCACATTTTGAAAAGGCCTGTTCTAAAAGTGCCATGGCTTTTGCTTGTTTTTAGTTACACACTTTTAATTAATGTATTTATTTTTACTTTTACATAAGTATTTTTGGAGATGGAGTCTCTCCATTGCCCAGGCTGAGTGCAGTGGTGCAATCTCAGCTCACTGTAACCTCCAACTCCCTGGTTTAAGCGGTTCTCCTGCCTCAGCCTCCCGAGTAGCTGGGATTACAGGTGCACCACCACCACCACACCTGGCTAATTTTTGTATTTTTCATAAGGCGGGGTGGTCTTTGCCATGTTGCTCAGACTGGTCAAACTCTTGGCCTCAAGTGATCTGCCTGCCTGGGCCTCCCAAAGTACTGGGATTATAGGAGTGAGCCACTGCACCCAGCCAATTATATACGCTTTTTTTTTTTTGAGTCTCACTGTGTTGACCGGGCTGGAGTGCAGTGGCACAATCTCGGCTCACTGCAACCTGCATCCCCTGGGTTCAAGCGATTTTCCTGCCTCTGTCTCCCAAGTAGCTGGGATTGCGGGCACCTGTCACCGCACCTGGCTAATTTTTTGTAATGTTAGTAGAGATGGGGTTTCACCATCTCGGCCAGGTTAGTCTTGAACTCCTGACCTCATGATCTACCCTCCTTGGCTTCCAAAAGTGCTGGGATTACAAGCATGAGCCACCGCACCTGGCTATATACACTTTTAATTTTATTTTAAGTTTTCAGAAGTAAAGTAAGGATGGGAGGTTTTTGTTTTTGTTTTTGTTTTTGATTGAAGGGGCCATTTGGTTAAGAAAGTTTTCCAGGCCGGGCATGGTGGCTCACGCCTATAATCGAAGCACTTTGGGAGGCCTAGGTGGGTGGATCACAAGGTCAAGAGATTGAGACCATCCTGGTCAACATGGTGAAACCCTGTCTCTACTAAAAACACAAAAATTAGCTGGGCATGGTGGTGCGCACCTGTAGTCCCAGCTACTCGGGAAGCTGAGGCAGGAGAATTGCTTGAACCCAGGAGGCGGAGGTTGCAGTTGAGCTGAGATCACGCCATTGCACTCCAGCCTGGGTAACAAGAGCGAAACTCTGTCTCAAAAAAAGAGAAAAAAAAAGTTCTCCAAGCTCAATACTGATGAGCTGGGCCCCCAGAGCCCCTACCAGGGAAGACAACCCCCAAATCCCAACCCCTGCCTCACTTCCAGCACTCAAGGGCTCAGGGCTGCGCTCCTGACTACTTCCTATATGTGTTTCCTTCCCAGTGCTATTACAAAGCCTTAAGCTCTGCATGAAGTTTCTATGCTTTAAACAGCATCAGGTCATTTGGTTCTCCTCAAGGTCAATGCTAATGTGTGCTGAACTGGCTGGAGGACTGCCAGGCCCTGTGAGAAGCCCACATTCATTCATCCATCTCTTTTGAGTTCTAACATCAGCCTTAGCAAGTAGGTCCTGTTTTTGTCTTCCTTTTTCAGATAAGGAAAGCGATGCTTAAAGAGACAAAATTCTCTGTCCATGGTCATAGCCTGGATTTGAACTAGGGTTTTGGGACTCTTAGAGTTTGTATGCTTACCCCAAAATATTGCCTGCCTCCAAAGTCATGGCCACTAATTTCCTGTGGGCTGAGTTTTGTGTTTCAGGGGAGGGTCTAAGGCTGACTTCTTTCAGTGTGCTATGGGGTCCGTATGTAACTGGGACCCTAGGTTTACCCCTGAGGCTGGCACACTGCCCTGTCCTGTCCCCACTAACAAAAGTGGACTTGCTGGAGCAGACCAAAGTCCTGGATCAGACCAGGAGGCCACCTCACAAACCCCAAGGCTGGCAAAATGGGCGGCCTGCGCCTCTGGCCTGATTTACCTAAAATGGAGAGAGGTGAGGGTTCCAGGAGTACCAGAGAGGAAGGTATGAAACTCCTCCGAGGAGCCCAGGGTGGCATATCCAACTGTGTGACACGTAGACAGACAGGGCCCCCGCAGGGAGCCATGCCCTACCCCCAGGTCCAGCCGGCTGCCTTCTTAGAATGCCCACCCGCCTTTGTCCCTGCCCACCGACCGCTGAAAACTCCCACCCTCTCCAAAAAAAGTTCTATTCCCTCTTCTCTAACCACAAAGGCACTGAAAATGGAGTGGAGCCAAAAAAGGAGTCAGGGTGGGTGGAAAAGTAGGGGTTCCAGGCTGATAGACCACCCCAGGATTCTCAGGCAGCAAGGACCATCCCCTTTCCCCCAACACTGTAGACCAGAACACCCCTCTTCATCATGCCATTAAATACAGCCCTGTTAACAACACAGGGCGGTTCACCTTGATTATCGAGTCCTTTCCGGGATGTGGAGAGCTTGTGTGAAAGAAAAGGGGTCCTCTAGGGCCGGGCGCGGTGGCTCAAGCCTGTAATCCCAACACTTTGGGAGGCCGAGGCGGGTGGATCAAGAGGTGAAGAGATCGAGACCATCCTGGTCAACATGGTGAAACCTCGTCTCTACTAAAAATACAAAGTTAGCTGGGCATGGTGGCACGTGCCTGTAATCCCAGCAACTCAGGAGGCTGAGGCAGGAGAATTGCCTGAACCCAGGAGGCGGAGGTTGTGGTGAGCCGATATCGCGCCATTGCACTCCAGCCTGGGTAACAAGAGCGAAACTCCGTCTGGGGGTGGGGGAGGGGGTCCTCTGAGAAGTGAGGGTTTGGAAGTGGGGGCAGGAGGGTATCTTTGGGGAGATGGATGTCTGGAGGCCCCAAGGGTGCCGTTAGAGTACTAGGATGCAGAGCTTCAAGGAGGCAACTAGGAAACCGGACCCCGGGTTCAGGGGATGGAGTGGTGAATCCCGGGGCGCCCAAGCCGGGTTACCTTGAGTCAAATTTCTTGCCATCTTCGAAAGTGCCGTTGTAGTGGTAGCGCACAAAATCCCCCATCTGCACTTCTCGGGGACAGGCCCTGGGGATGTGGTACCTCTCTATGACCACATCTTCCAGGGGTCCCCCGGCCGGGCTGGCGCGGCCCAACCCCCTCCCCACGGCCTGCACCACCAGCAGCAGTAACTGCAGCAGAGGGAGCCGGAGGAGGCTGTAGCTGGGGGGGCCCGCGGGGAACATGGTGCCTGAGACTGGGACCGCCAGCAGTGAGGGCGAGCGAGGGAGCCGCCGCCAACCTCCTTCTCCCCGCCTCCCAGAACTGGCTTCCCAGCTTCCTGTCCTCCTTCCCTACCCCCGCCCTGGCTGGTCCACGTGGAATGGGGGCTGGGAAGACTGAGCTGGACAGGCGCGGGGCGGGGCGGGGTGCAACAGGAGGAGGGGGTCAGGCTGAGTAAGTTAGAGTTGGAGGGAGGCACCACAAAGAACTGCGAGTCCTCCCTCCCCCGTCTCCAACCCTGGCTGCGAGACCTGGGGCCTGGCCAGGGAGGGAGGCTCGGGAAAGATGAGAAGTCTGAGTGGACACCGAAGGGAAAAAAAAAGTTCAGTGTCTTTTTCCGGAGCCCCCGGGTCCTAAAGCCGGGCGGAGGCGCCCCTTGCTTCTTTCGCGGGCACCTCCAATTCTAGTCCCCTCCAGGTGGGTGGCAAAGCCGCGGAGTGTGAGAGGCATCTCCGTGCTCGTCCGTCAACCCCAACTGTGCTCCAAGGGACGGCCTCTCCAGGGAAGAGCAGCTTGGCCCCGCAAAGGCTGGACTGCAGAAAGGGCTTTGTGACTTGGGACGTGACGGACACGGAGGAGTGGGTGGCGGTGGCGGTGGCGGTGGCGGCGGAAGGTGTGCAGGTGACAGTAGGTGTGTGGCTCCGACGTGGGCGGGGAGACACTCGGAGGGTGCAGGAGGTCGCAGCGACGGCCTGCCCGGCTCCGGGGCTTCCCCCTCGCGTGGGCAGCGTAGAGGAGGCGGCCCAGGCCCGCGCTCAGGGTCCCGATCCCAGGAGGGGGCACTGTGTTTGGGCGGGGAGGGGCTTTCTGGGCTCCCCATCTCTGGCGGGAAGCGCTCCCCGACTCACTCTCTGCCTAGGGGCATCCCCAAGGCAGGAGCCCGGGCCGACGCAGAGGACTCAGGACACTATCGGACCCTGGGGAAAAAGAGGAGAGACCTCGCGACCCAGGCCCCGCCCCGCCCCGCCGCGCCGCCCTCGTGCGTGGCGCTAAGACCCAGCGGGCGCGCCGCGGGCCCCGGCCCCTTCCGTCCGCTGGGCGGCAGCTCAGCTCGGGAGAGCCGGCGGCGCGGCGGGCATGGCTCGGGCGGCGTGGGGGCTGCTGTGGCTGTTGCTGGGCAGCGTCGGGGCGCAGTACGAGAAGTACAGCTTCCGGGGCTTCCCGCCCGAGGATCTGATGCCGCTGGCCGCCGCCTACGGGCACGCGCTGGAGCAGTACAAGGGCGAGAGCTGGCGCGAGAGCGCGCGCTACCTGGAGGCTGCGCTGCGGCTGCACCGGCTGCTGCGCGACAGCGAGGCCTTCTGCCACGCCAACTGCAGCGGGCCCGCGCCCGCGCCCACGCCTGGCCCCGACGGCGGCCGCGCGGACGAGTGGGCCCGTGAGCTGCGGCTCTTCGGCCGCGTCCTGGAGCGCGCCGCCTGCCTGCGGCGCTGCAAGCGGACGCTGCCCGCCTTCCAGGTGCCCTACCCGCCGCGGCAGCTGCTGCGCGACTTCCAGAGCCGCCTGCCCTATCAGTACCTGCACTACGCGCTGTTCAAGGTGGGCGTCCGCCCCCACTTGGGGTCCCGTCTCGGGCTGGGCCTCGGGTCTCCCCACCGATCCGTCGGAGGAGCGTTGCCTTCACCCGGGTCACGAAGCCCGCTGTGCGCTCCGGGCCGCGAACTCCGGCCCTACTGACCCGCTCCCTCACCCCCTACCCCCCGACCAGGCTAACCGGCTGGAGAAGGCGGTGGCGGCGGCCTACACCTTCCTCCAGAGGAACCCGAAGCACGAGCTGACCGCCAAGTATCTCAGCTACTACAGGGGGATGGTCGACGTCGCCGACGAATCCCTGACGGACCTAGAGGCCCAGCCCTACGAGGTGGGGTGGAGGGCAGGAGGAGGATCCTGCAGATAGGGCTTGTAGAGGAGGGGGGATGATGGGGGCGCCCTAACTCCCTCTGCCACGCCCCCTCCAGGCCGTGTTTCTCCGGGCTGTGAAGCTCTACAACAGCGGGGATTTCCGCAGCAGCACGGAGGACATGGAGCGGGCCCTGGCAGAGTACCTGGCGGTCTTTGCCCGGTGTCTGGCCAGCTGTGAAGGGGCCCACGAGCAGGTGGACTTCAAGGACTTCTACCCGGCCATAGCAGGTATCCCCCATCCAGACTATGGTGGGCGGTCCAATCACCCACAGGCCCGGTAAGGCAGATGTCCCCTCCCTGCACGTGGAGCACTGCAAATGCGGAGGAGCCAGCCAGGAGGACGGCTTTGTTCCAGCCCTCAGGGAGCCTTCGGTCTGCTGAGAACGACGATGGGTACAGGGGCCCCAGCTGGGAGTGTTCAAGGAGCTGGATCAGTGTGGAAAGGCAGTGATATCCCTAAAGGGTCAGGGAAGCTTGGGTTCACAGGCCTTCCAGACAGAGGGCGGTGCAGGTGCAAAGGTGCTGCGGTGAGAAGTAGCCCGGCAGGCGTGTGCAGAAAGCAGCTGGTAACCAGAAATCACACCTAGTCTTAGGATCTCTAACCCCGGGGTCCCTCGAGCAGGGGCAGAAAGGACTTCCTTGGTCAGGTGTAGTGGCTCAGGCCTGTAATTCCAGCACTTTGGGAGGCCGAGGCAGGTGGATCACGAGGTCAGGAATTCGAGACCAGCCTGACCAACATGGTGAAACCCCGTTTCTACCAAAAATACAAAAGTTAGCTGGGCATGGTGGCACACGCCTGTAATCCCAGCTAGGAAGCTGAGGCAGGAGAATTGCTTGAACCTGGGAGGTGGAGGTTGCGGTGAGCAGAGATCACACCACTGTACGCCAGCCTGGATGACAGAGCGAGACTTCATCTCAAAAAAAAAAAAAAAAAGTACTGTCCTTTAGCTTCTCTGTTTGGACTTCTGCCCCACTTCTGGACCTAACCTCTGTTCTCCCAGAATGCCCTGACTCCCTCTGGCTTGGGGTGGTGGTTGAATGGTGGGGGAGGTGAGGCAGCTCAGCCCACAGTCATCTTTCTCACCATCATTTGTGGTATAGTGTGGCAAGCACTTTACACACATTCTCCCCTGTGATTGCAACAGCAGCACATTTTCTGGACCAGCAGCCTGGCTCAGTAGGCAGAGCTTGGATCTGGAGTCTTCTCCACTGTGGGGAGGGAGCTGTTCATGGCAATGCCAGCCTCTCACTGCTCCTTCCCGCCCCCAGATCTCTTTGCAGAGTCCCTGCAGTGCAAGGTGGACTGTGAGGCCAATTTGACCCCCAATGTGGGCGGCTTCTTCGTGGACAAGTTCGTGGCCACCATGTACCACTACCTGCAGTTTGCCTACTACAAGTGTGAGCCCCCTGGGTGGGCTTGGGCAGGGGAAGAGGTGATAAGGGAGAGGACTGCATGGGTGCCTCCCAGAATTGTGGGAAGCTTTCCTTCAGTATCGAGGATACTAGATGATAGGAGAAAACGCTAGGGGTGGTGGGGACATGGGGAAGCCACCCTGAGAGTCTGGGGTAGGTGAGATGCTTGTGAGTGGGAACAGACAGGAGCCTCAGGGAGAAGTAGAGGGTCTCTTGGGCAAATGACTAGGCAACCAACAACTGCAGAGCACTTGACAGTTTATTTTTATTTTTGAAACAGTTTCACTCTGTTGTCCAGGCTGGAGTGCAGTGGCACGATCTTGGCTCACTGCAACCTCTGCCTCTAGAGTTCAAGTGATAATCCTGCCTCAGCCTCCTGAGTAGCCAGGATTACAGGCACCCGCCACCATGCTCAGCTAATGTTTGTATTTTTAGTAGAGATGGGGTTTCACCATGTTGTCCAGGCTGGTCTTGAACTCCTGACCTCAGGTGATCCACCACCTCAGCCTCCCAAAGTGCTGGGATTATAGTTGTGAACCACCATGCCCCACCAACACTTGAGAGTTTACAAGGCACTTATGTGGTCCTTTCATCAAAACCAGCTGGCATTGATGGACCAATTTTTCAGATGGGGAAACTGAGGCTTATAGAGGGCAATGGGCTATTACTCTCATGACTAATAAAAAGTGGCACCAGGACTTGTGGCTCTCCTCACTGGAGAGATTCTGGCATCCACCAGGACTGAGATGGACAGCCTGCAGTGTTCCTGTAACGCAATTTTTCAGATGGGGAAACTGAGGCTTATAGAGGGCAAGGGACTATTACTCTCATGACTAATAAAAAGTGGCACCAGGACTTGTGGCTCTCCTCACTGGAGAGATTCTGGCATCCACCAGGACTGAGATGGACAGCCTGCAGTGTTCCTGTAACTCAGAGATGCCAAAATTCAGACAGCCGGGAATCTGAGCAGAGGGGCTGAGAACAAAGGGGCTGGGAGACCCTTCCTGGGAACAGATACTGGAGAGGTTGAGGGCTTCTAATTCCCTAGAGCCATCATTCTCCAGTTGTGTGAGCTTGGGCAATTTAGCTAACCTCTCTGTGACTCAGATTTCTTGGCTGTAAAATGTGGATGACAGTAAAAGGCAGTCTGGGTGCGGTAGTCCACGCCCGTCATCCCAGCACTTTGAGAGGCCCAGGCAGGCAGATGGCTTGAGCCCAGGAGTTCCAGACCAACTTGGGCAACATAGCAAGACCCTGTCTCTATAAAGATACAACAAAGTAGCCAGGAGTGGTGGCGCATGCCTGTAGTCCCAGCTACTGGGGAGGCTGAGGTGGGAGTATTGCTTGAGCCCAGGAGGCGGAGGCTATAGTGTGCCGAGATCACAGCACTGCACTCCAGCCTGGGTGACAGAACAAGACCCTGTCTCAAAACAAACAAAAACATACAAAACATTAGATGGGTGTGGTGGTACGTGTGCCAGTAGTCCCAGCTACTTGGGAGACTGAGGTGAGAGGATCACCTAAGCCCGGGAGATCAAGGCTGAGGTGACCCATGATGGCACTACTGCACTCCAGCCAGGGTGATAGAGTGATACCCTGTCTTAAAAAATAAAAAGACAGGCCAGGTTCGGTGGCTCATGCCTGTAATCCCAGGACTTTGGGAGGCTCAGGCAGGTGGATCACAAGGTCAAAAGATCGAGATCATCCTGGTCAACATGGTGAAACCCTGTCTCTACTAAAAATACAAAAAATTAGCTGGGCATGGTAGCGCGTGCCTGTAATCCCAGCTACTCAGGAGGCTGAGGCAGGAGAATTGCCTGAACCCAGGAGGCGGAGGTTGCGGTGAGCCGAGATTGCACCATTGCACTCCAGCCTGGGTAACAAGAGCGAAACTCCGTCTCAAAAAATAAAAATAAAAATAAAAAATAGGCCGGGCACGGTGGCTTACGCCTATAATCCCAGCACTTTGGGAGGCCGAGGCGGGTGGATCACGAGGTCAAGAGATCGAGACCATCCTGGTCAACAAGGTGAAACCCCGTCTCTACTAAAAATACAAAAATTAGCTGGGCATGGTGGTGCGCACCTGTAGTCTCAGCTCTCGGGAGGCTGAGGCAGGAGAATTGCTTGAACCCAGAAGGCGGAGGTTGCAGTGAGCCGAGATCATGCCATTGCACTCCAGTCTGGGTAACAACAGTGAAACTCCGTCTCAAAAAATAAAATAAAATAAAATAAATAAAAATAAATAAAAAGACAGGCCAGGTTCAGTGGCTCATGCCTGTAATCCCAGGACTTTGGGAGGCTGAGGCAGGTGGATCACAAGGTCAAGAGTTGAAGACCAGCCTGGCCAAGATGGTGAAACCCTGTCTCTACTAAAAATATAAAAATTAGCTGGGCATGTTGGCAGGTGCCTGTAATCCCAGATACTTGGGAGGCTGAGGCAGAGAATCTCTTGAACCTGGGAGGCAGAGGTTGCAGCAACCCGAGATTGCACCACTACATTCTAGCCTGGGCAACAGAGTGAGACTCTGTCTCAAAAATAAACAAATAGGGGGAGGTGGGGAGGGATAGCCTGGGGAGAAATGCCAAATGTGGGTGAAGGGGAGAAAGGAAGCAAAACACACTGCCATGTGTGTACCTATGCAACTGTCTTGCATGTTCTGCACATGTACCCCAAAACCTAAAATGCAATAAAAAAATTTTTTTTAAATAAATAAATAAAAATAAAAAGACAATGATAGTGAGGCTTAAATGAGTTAGGGCCTGGTGCAAGGTCAGTGCCCACTACATGCTAGCTGGCATTATGCTTGGGTGGGGTAAGGAGCCTAGTAGCTATTCTGGGAGGTGGCTGGGTGGCAGGAGCGCTGGACTGAACTGGGAGCTGGGGTTGACACTGAAGGGTAAGTGCCAGAGCAACTCCTCACCCCTGTGCTGCTGCAGTGAATGATGTGCGCCAGGCTGCCCGCAGTGCCGCCAGCTACATGCTCTTCGACCCCAAGGACAGCGTCATGCAGCAGAACCTGGTGTATTACCGCTTCCACCGGGCTCGCTGGGGCCTGGAAGAGGAGGACTTCCAGCCCCGGGAGGTGGGCACTGCTTTCTGGGGCACTTGCTGGACATGCAGTTTGAAAAAAACGTCGGGCGCGGTGGCTCACGCCTGTAATCCCAGCACTTTGGGAGGCCGAGGTGGGTGGATCACGAGGTCAAGAGATCGAGACCATCCTGGTCAACATGGTGAAACCCCGTCTCTACTAAAAATACAAAAAATTAGCTGGGCATGGTAGCGCGTGCCTGTAATCCCAGCTACTCAGGAGGCTGAGGCGGGAGAATTGCCTGAACCCAGGAGGCGGAGGTTGCGGTGAGCTGAGATCGCGCCATCCAGCCTGGGTAACAATAGCAAAACTCCACCTCAAAAAAAAAAAATATATATATATATAAATATGAGTTGAGGTTCGAGCCCAGCCCCACTGCTCTGTGGTCCTGGGAAGACTACCTCCCTTTTCGAATCTATTGTCTCACCTACAAAATGGGGGTAGTACTGCCCCCCTCAGCAGTGTCCAGATGTGGGAGGTGCGAGGGTACACATCCACTCCTGCCTGCTCCCCTCCCACCTTCATCACCCTCACTGCTGGGCTTTGTCCCTCCTCCCCAGGAACCCACTAGGTAACCAACTGAGAAAACCCCTTGGAGTTGAGGGCAAGGTTGGCAAATACGGGACACATGGTACCACTCCTGCTTTCTTTATCAGTGGCAGACATTGCTAATCAATTGAGGGATTCTTTCTCACCAGACCCTCAGAATCCTTAACCCAGTGCTCCAGACAGTCACAATGATCTGATTAGCTTGTGAGCTGATACCCGTTCCCTGATCCTTGAGCTGGAAGAGGGCCAGTGGGCCCAGATCCTAGGAGCTCTGGCTTCTTGCCATCTGGCAGCAGGGTATGGCTCACCCCTGACCCATCCTTCCCTCCTTCCAGGAGGCCATGCTCTACCACAACCAGACCGCCGAGCTGCGGGAGCTGCTGGAGTTCACCCACATGTACCTGCAGTCAGATGATGAGGTGAGTGCCTCCTGATTTCCAGGACTGGGCTGTGATGGGGACGCTTTGGGCTTTTCCTGGGGCCACCAGTGTGCCAGAGTTGAGCCCCAGCCCCTGGTGGTCAGCCATTGTGAAGCAGAGAGGTTTGTCTGGACCGTCCCTTCCTTCCCCAGCCTGAGCATTCTCATGCTTCCTGCTGTACATGTCCTAATCCTGCTCTTCCCAGGTGCAGCTCACATGGTGCCTCCTCCAGGAAGTCCTTGCTGCATGCCCTGGCTCTCTGTTCTGGGCTAGCAGTGCTTCTGTGTACTTTCCTGGCCACCTGTGGCCTGGACCTGGATGATTTGCAGTCCTGGTCCATCTGAGGCCTGGCCCCCTTCTCCAGCCAGTCTCCAGGAGGACCGCACTGCAGGACACAGGGCCAGGGTATTCCCTGCTCTCCCAGCTCTCCCATGCCCTGCATGGAGCCTGGGCTCAGAAACAGTTTGAATGAACCAGTGAATGAATGAATGCAGGGCATCAGGACCAGAGGACTGTAGTGTATTACAGATTCCGAGTGAGGGTTTGACAGCCTGAGTTTCTCTGAGGTGTTGCTGCTCAGTGCTTATTTATATATCCTCTCATTTGTTCACACCCCCACCCATTAAACATGGGGGTGGGGAGCAGAATCTACACTGTCAGCACCCAGGATGAGGAGCTAGCCAGACCCGGCTCCACTACTTACCAGTTGGGTGGCCTCCAGACAAGTGTCAGGCAACCTCTCAAACTTCTGTTTTTTCATCCATTAAATGGGGAGAATCATGCCCATCTCATATTGTGGTGATGAGAATAATACGAGATCTGGCCAGGCATGGTGGCTCATGCATGTAATTCCAGCAATTTGGTAGGCCGAGGCAGAGGGATCACCTGAGATCAGGAGTTCAAGACCAGCCTGGCCAACATAGTGAAATCCTGTCTCTACTAAAAATACAAAAATTATCCAGGCAGTCATGGGCACCTGTAATCCCAGCTACCCAGGAGGCTGAGGCAGGAGAACCGCTTGCATTCGGGAGGCAGAGGTTGCAGTGAGCTGAGCTGGCACCACTGCACTTCAGCCTGGGCAACAGATTGAGACTCTGTCTAAAAAAGAAAAAAATTAAGATCAAGTGTGTATTTTTATTTTTACTGGAGACGAAATCTTGCTCTGTCACCCAGGCTAGAGTGCAATCTCCACTCACTGCAATCTCCGCTTCTTGGGTTCAAGAGATTCTCTGGTCTCAGCCTTTGAGTAGCTGGGATTATAGGCACGTGCCATCACATCCAGCCAATTTTATTTTGTATTTGTAGTAGAGACAGGATTTCACCATTTTTGGCCAGGCTGGTCTCAAACTGCTGACTCAAGTGATCTGTCCACCTTGGCCTCCCAGAATGCTGGGATTACAGGCGTGAGCCACCGCACCTGGCTGAGATCAAGTATGTAAAGCACTTGATAAAGAGCCAGCACCTGGTAGGTGCACAGTGAATGGCAGTGCTTTTTTTTTTTTTTTTTTTTTTGAGACGGAGTTTTGCTCTTGTTACCCAGGCTGGAGTGCAATGGTGCGATCTCGGCTCACCGCAACCTCTGCCTCCTGGGTTCAGGTAATTCTCCTGCCTCAGCCTCCTGAGTAGCTGGGATTACAGGCACGCACCACCATGCCCAGCTAATTTTTTGTATTTTTAGTAGAGACGGGGTTTCACCATGTTGACCAGGATGGTCTCGATCTCTTGACCTCGTGATCCACCCACCTCGGCCTCCCAAAGTGCTGGGATTACAGGCTTGAGCCACTGAGACAGAATCTCACTCTGTCACCCAGGCTGGAGTGTAGTGGCGCCATCTCAGCTCACTGCAACCTCCACCTCTTGGGTTCAAGCAGTTCTCCTGCCTTAGCCTCCTGAGTAGCTGAGATTACAGACATGTGCCACCATACCTAGCTAATTTTTATATTTTAAGTAGAGTTATGGAGTTTCACCATGTTGGCCAGGCTGGTCTTGAACTCCTGACCTCAAGTGACCCACCTGCCTCGGCCTCCCAAAGTGGTGGGATTACAGGTGTGAGCCCCTGCTCACACCTGGCCTATGGCAGCTGCTTTGAGGGCTGTCGCTTGTTCTGTGTGGTTTGTCAGACACCAGACTGGGGGCTGGAATAAGTTAGTGAAAGTCATGGTCCCTTTCCCAAGCTCACAGTCTAGTTGGGGAGGTAGAATCTGCTGCTGGAGAGGGCAGCATGCAGCACCAGAGGAGGTCTCCAGCCCAGCCAGGGTTACCAGCAAGGGCTCAGCCTAGAACTGATGCCTGGCTTTGGAGGAATCAGTGCGGGCTGCACAGGCACAGGGGACAGCAGGAGTTCCTGGCAGGGAAACAGCATGAGCAAACATTATGCAGGGACCAGCAAGATTCTCGCCAGTGTATTTGTGCTTAAAAGGTGGGGCTGTGCCGAGGTGATGTTTATGCTGACACCAAATTCTACCGGTGGTGCCCTGTGCAGCCACTCAGGGAGGGGCAGTTTGGGAGACATCCTCAGAATGTTCTCATTAGATCTTGAGACTGGGGAAGGGGAGGGGCTTTGGGGACCAAGAAGTGGGAAGGGAGGTCCCATTGGCCAGGAAGGGAGCCTGTATGGGTTTGGGCCTACCGTGACCCAGTTTCTCCCACAATTGTGGCACTGCTCTAGATGGAACTGGAGGAGACAGAACCACCCCTCGAGCCGAAGGACGCCCCATCTGACACCGAGTTTGAAGGGGAGGGTGACTACGAGGAGAGCATCTATGCTGACTGGTGGCAGGAGCCGGATGCCAAGGGTGATGAGGCTGAGGCTGGTTAGTGACAAGTTCTTGGGGGGATGGGGATGCAGCCTGGGATGGAAGTTGGGAACAAACATTCACCTGCTGGGCTCCGGAACTTATGGTGTGTGTGGGTGCTGGAGCCTTTCCTCCAGGGGCCTGCAGCCTATTGGCCGCCCCTGTCCCACCTGGGGATGGAGGTGCAGCACACCCCACTGGAGCTGGGGGCAGCTGACACCTGTTCCTGGGGAGCCTCACCCCCTTCCCATCAGGATAGCACCTGGACACCCACTGGGAGTGGGTGGGGGCCAACCCCAGTGCTTTCTCCTTTCCTTTTCAGAGCCAGAGCCTGAACTGGCATGAGAAGGGGACATCTCACACCCCTCGAGCTTGGGAACCCTGGGCCTGATGGCCCCACCCTCACCAGCCTGAGCAGCAGCAAGACCTTTTTTTTTTTTTCCTGAACATCTTAAATTAATAGCAAGAACTATTTATTAAAAACTTAAGATGGAACCGGGCGCGGTGGCTCACGCCTGTAATCCCAACACTTTGGGAGGCTGAGGCGGGCGGATCACCTGAGGTCAGGAGTTCGAGACCAGCCTGACCAATATGGTGAAACCTCTTTAAAAAAAAAAAAAAAAAAAAACTTAAGATGGGGCCGGGCACAGTGGCTCACACCTGTAATCCCAGCACTTTGGGAGGCCAAGGCAGGTGGATCATGAGTTCAAGACCAACCTCGCCAATATGGTGAAACTCCATCTCTTATTAAAAATATAAAAAATTAGCCAGGCGTGGTGGTGGGCGCCTGTAATCCCAGCTACTCAGGAGGCTGAGGCAGAGAATTGCTTGAACCTGGGAGGCAGAGGTTTCAGTGAGCTGAGACCATGCCACTGCACTCCAGCCTGGGCAACAGAGGGAGACCCCATCTCAAAAAAAAACAAGATGGACCAGACACGGTGGCTCACACCTGTAATCCCAGCACTTTGGGAGGCCAAGGTGGGTGGATCACTTGAGGCCAGGAGTTCGACAGCCTGGCCAACATGGTGAGATGTCCCTTCTCTACTAAAATACAAAAATTAGCCAGGCATGGTGGCAGATGCCTGTAATCCCAGCTACTCGGGAAGCTGAGGCCAGAGAATCACTTAAACCTGGGAGGCAAAGGTTGCAATGAGCTGAGATCGTGCCACTGCACTCCAGCCTGGGCAACAGAGCAATACTCTGTCTAAAAAAAAAAAAAAAGATGGATACACTGACCGGACCCCTGTCCTGCCCCACCCGTGAGCACTGCGCCCCAGACCCATCCTGCCTCTTCTGTGTATCTCTGGACCACAGGATGGTGGTGGCATTGCAGGTTGGCAAGTGGGCTGACGGGATCTGCCCTCCTCACCGCTGAGCCCCTCACCTGGACAGTCTCCTGGACGAGAAGGTTCCATCTGCTGACTGGAGTCTCAGACTGAATTGCAGAGGGTCCTCCAGGGTCCTGAAGAGCACTGGACTAGGAGTCTAGTGGTTCAATAAATGTTTATTGACCAGTAGGTGCTCAATAAGTGCTGTTGAATGAGTGATAGCACTTGCGGTCCAGTCTCCGCGGAGCTCAGTTGTGACAGTACAAGTCCTTCCCTCCCTCTCTCTGCACCCATGCCCCCTCATCTGTAAAATGTGGGGTGAGGGGGCATGGGTGCCCCGAGTCTGAGGCTTGTGTGAGGGAGGATGCAGTGTGCAGACTCGCCACCAGGGGGCGTAAGAGGACACTCTGCGGACACTCTGCAGACCCGCCGCTAGGGGGCATGAAAACATAGTCCTCCCCAGGCCTGGGAAGACGGTGGTTTCCGATTTCTGAGATGGAAAGTCCTGTATTTTCCTAGTTCAGGATCATTTCCCTCGGGGAATGTGGCAAGTGTGGGAGGGGGCCAAGGACATTTGCTCCTGGTGTTTACTTTCTGGGCATTTACTGACGCAGTTTCCTTAGAGTCAGAGGGAAGTGGCCCTGCCGCTGCCCTATTCCCCCATTCCAGAGCCGAGTTGGGGCCCCAGCTTCACAGCCAGAGGAGCCCCAGGGATGTGGTTTGATTACTTTGGGCTTCTTGGGGTGCGGTGGGACAGCCAGGCCCCTCTTGACCGATTTTACATGGGTTCCAGGGGTAGAGGGTCTGGAAGTGTGCGGGCAATGACGGTATCTGGTGGCTACCTCCTAGCCTGGGACCCACTGCCAGATACCCACCCCTATACCACAGCAGGTAGGTGGGGCAAAGGGGGTCTCTCTGGGAGGAACCCAGGGCCAAGGCCATCCGGGTGACAGCTCTGTCCCACATTTCCAGCTTCCCGGGGGCAGGGCGGCCGAGGTGTCTTCCTACTTGAAGGTGGAGTCAGGGCTGGGAAGGCAGGTTCTCACTGCCCCACCCCTACCTTCTCTCCAGACGAACTGGCCTGGGCCCTGTCCACCTCTGTGCCCAGGAGGACTCCCTGCCCCACCCCAAACCCCTCCATTAGGCCTTTGGTTTGGTCAGGATGGGAGCTGGAAGGGCAGAGTCTGAGTCTGGAAAAAGGGCTGAGGGCTCGGTGACCTCACTCCTTCCCCCATAGGGAAACACATCTGCAGTGGTAGCCTTTCCTGACAGCCTCCGGGTGCACAGTGGCCCTGCCCCACCCCACCTCTTTCAAGCTGCTGTGTTGTCAGGTCCAAGGCCCAGCCCGTTTCTGGGAGGGGCTGGACCTTTAGAGGGTGGGGAGCGGGATGTGCTTCTGCATGTCTGCGCAGATGTGAACCTGCCATGAGCAGGAGCTTTGGAATCTGGACGGCTGGGTGTGGGTCTAAAAGTGCCCGCATGCTTGTGTTGCGTGGATGTGCGGGTCTGGGTGTGAATGTGTGCCTGCGGGTGTGCAAGAATGAGGGTGTTTTCGTTTGTTTTGTTTTTTGAGATGGAGTCTCGCTCTGTCATCCAGGCTGGAGTGCAGTGGCTCAATCTCAGCTCACTGCAAACTCTACCTCCTGGGTTCAAGCGATTCTCCTGCCTCAGCTTCCCGAGTAGCTGCGATTACAGGTGCCCACCACACCCAGCTAATTTTTGTATTTTTGGTAGAGACAGTGTTTCGCTGTGTTGGCCAGGCCGATCTCAGACTCCTGACCTCAGGTGATCCAGCTGCCTCGGCCTCCCAAAGTGTTGGGAAGAAATGTGTTTTTAGAGGGATTCATTCACTCAGTCAGCACATATTTATTGAGTACCTACTATGTGCCAGCATCTTGAGGCACTGGGCATGGAAGAGCGAACGGAGCAGGCCAAACGCCGGGCCCACATGGGCTTAGGTGCCGGCGGGGAGGCGGGCTGTAAACAAAAAACGGCAGAATGTACAAAGGAGACGGTCCGGCAGATGCGGAGGTGGGAAAGGATCAGACGCGGAGGGGTTGCGATTGAAGTGTGTGGGTAGCTGTGCAAGTGCGCATCTGAGCGTGGTGTCTGAGTGTGGGGTGAAGCAGCCTGTGTGTTACGGAGGAGGCCCGCCCCTCTTAGGCACCACTCAGCCCTTTAGCTCAGGCCACTGGCTCAGCCTTGCCTTACTCAGCTCCCCTTTCCCAGGGAGCCACCAGCCCCTCCTGCCTCCCCAGATGCCAGCGTCTCCCCATAGCCCAGTCAGCTCCCCAAACCGGTGAGACCTACTCCCAGTCAGTCCCAGTGTGGGCCCTCTGGGGCCCTCCAGCCCTTTGTCCCGATTCCACCCATCCAGACAGCTTCACCTAAGCCACACCTCTGACCCTGACGGCCACCTCCCCATCTGCTCCCACACCCCACCCAGCACCTCACCAGTCCTAGAATCTTGGTATAATGGGTAGGTTAGGGATGACCAGAAGGGCTCTGGGGAGGCTGGCCTCATGCAGTAGGACCAGACTTGGAGAGATGCTGCAGGAAGACTCCATCCTAAGGAAATCAGAGCTGCCACCTGTCCTAAGTGCCTACTGTGTGCCAGGCACTTGGCAGCTTATTATTTTTTGAGACAGTATCTTGCTCTGTCACCCAGGCTGCAGTGCAGTCACAATCATGGTTCACTACAGCCTCCACCTTCCAGGCTCAAGCCATCCTCCCACCTCAGCCTCCCGAGTAGCGGTGAGCACAGGCACATACTGGCACACCCACTTAATTTCTTTTTCTTTCTTTTTTTTTTTTTGAGACACAGTCTCACTGTGTCACAAGGCTGGAGTGAACTGGCACTATCTCGGCTCACTGCAACCTCTGCCTCCCCCTCCCAGGTTCAAGCGATTCTCCCGCCTCAGCCTTCCAAGTAGCTGTGACTACAGGTGTGCACCGCCACACCCAGCTAATTTTTCGTATTTTTAGTAGAGACAGGGTTTCACCATTTGGCCAGGATGGTCTCCATTTCTTTTTTTTTTTTTTCGTTTTTGAGACGGAGTTTTGCTCTTGTTACCCAGGCTGGAGTACAATGGCGCGATCTCGGCTCACTGCAACTTCTGCCTCCTGGGTTCAGGCAATTCTCCCGCCTCAGCCTCCTGAGTAGCTGGGATTACAGGCACGCACCACCATGCCCAGCTAATTTTTGTATTTTTAGTAGAGACGGGGTTTCACCATGTTGACCAGGATGGTGTCGATCTCTTGACCTTGTGATCCACCCGTCTCGGCCTCCCAAAGTGCTGGCATTACAGGCGTGAGCCACCACACCCAGCCCAATTTTTTTGTTTTTTGATAGGGTCTTGCTGTGTTGCCTAAGCTAGTCTCAAACTCCTGGGCTCAAGTGATCCTCCTCCCTTGGCCTCCCAAAGTGCTGGGATTACAGGCATGAGCCACCATGCCAGGCCTCTTGAGAAATTATTGATAACCCTTAAAATAGTCCTGAGATGTAGATGTCAGTTCCCCTCCACTCCAGGTGGGGCTGAGGAATAAGAGACAATTTGTCCAGGGTTCCTTGAGGTGGTGGGTGACTGAGCTGGGTTTGGACATTTTCTCGATAAATCAGTGCTGCTCAGAGAAGGAGGAGAATGCCCTGCTCATAGGGGTTGGCCTGGTTTTTTTTTTTTTTTTTGAGATGGAGTCTTGCTCTGTTGCCAGACTGGAGTGCAGTGGTGTGATCTCAGCTCACTGCAACCTCCACCTCCCAGGTTCAAGTGATTCTCCTGCCTCCGCCTCCTGAATAGCTGGGATTACAGGTACCCACCACCATGCCCAGCTAATTTTTATATTTTTAGTAGACATGGGGTTTCACCATGTTGGCTAGGTTGGTCTCAATCTCCTGACCTCATGAGCCACAGCCCTTGGACTCCCAAAATGCTGGGATTACAGGCGTGATGAGCCATCTCGCCCAGCCAACCTGGTATTTTAGGCTGTTAGCTGGGGCCAGGGAGAGGAGATGGAGGGTGTGGAGATGAATCCCCTACATGGCCCTGTACCATGGCTCACACCTATAATTCCAACACTCTGGGAAGCTCAGGTGGGTGGACCACTTGAGCCCAGGAGTTCGAGACCAGCCTGGGCAACATGGTAATTTTCCTACCAAAAAATAGGAAAATTATGCCAGGCACAGTGGCTCACACCTGTAATCTCAGCACTTTGGGGGGCGGAGGTCAGGAGTTCGAGACCGGCCTGGCCAACATGGTGAAACCCCATCTCTACTAAAAATACAAAATTAGCCGGTTATGGTGGCGCGTGCCTGTAATTCCAGCTACTTGGAAGGTTGAGGCAGGAAAATTGCTTGAACCTGGGAAGTGGAAGTTGCAGTGAGCTGAGATTGCACCATTGCACTCTAGCCTGGGCAACAAGAGCAAAACTCCATCTCAAAAAAAAAAAAAAAAAAAAAAAAAGACAGGGTCGGGTGCGGTGGTTCATGCCTGTAATCCCAGCATTTTGGGAGGCCGAGGCAGGTGGATCACGAGGTCAAGAGATTGAGACCATCCTGGTCAACATGGTGAAATCCCGTCTCTATTAAAAATACAAAAAATTAGCTGGGCATGGTGGTGTGTGCCTGTAATCCCAGCTACTCAGGAGGCTGAGGTGGGAGGATCACTGGAGCTTGGGAGGCAGAGGTTGCAGTGAGCCGAGAATAGGCCACTGCACTTCAGCCTGGGCCTGGGTGACAAAGTAAGTCTCAAAAAAAAAAAAAAAAAAAAATTGGCCGGGCGCGGTGGCTCACACCTATAATCCCAGCACTTTGGGAGGCCAAGGTGGGTGGATCACGAGGTCAAGAGATCGAGACCATCCTGGTCAACGAGGTGAAACCCCGTCTCTACTAAAAATACAAAAATTAGCTGGGCATGGTGGTGCGCGCCTGTAGTCCCAGCTACTCAGGAGGCTGAGGCAGGAGAATTGCTTGAACCCAGAAGGCGGAGGTTGTGGTGAGCCGAGATTGCGCCATTGCACTCCAGCCTGGGTAACAACAGTGAAACTCCGTCTCAAAAAAAAAAATCCCCTATAATTCCACAGCTCAGCTTGCTGAAGGAGGCAAGGAGTGGGAAGGGAGGGGGAAAGAAAATAAAAGGAAGAAAGGAGGAAGGGAGGAAAGAAGGAAGAAATGAATGAAGGGGAGCCTGGGA